CCTCTAGTTCTATTATGAAATTTTGAATAAATAAAGCTCAGTGAAATGCTGGTGGTGGTGTCCGTTCCTCCAAGTGGTGCCACTGGAAACTGCTCACTTTTGTGAGCTGAGCTGACCACGGACATTCGAATGCAGGCGACAGGCCCCCGTGACAGGCCGGCCTACGAACACCCACGTCACATCACAAATGTTAATGTCGCTATATGAATCTCGAGATAATGCTACGGCGTCCGCGGGAGCCGACGCGCACTCGCAAAGCCCGGCGAGTGTGAAAAGTATGCGAGGGTCTCCGGTGCAAGGACGGCATCGGGGGGCAACTAGGCTAGTCCAAAAGCCATGCAACGTATCGAAGACCCGCGTTGCAACATTAAATGTTGGCACGTTGACGGGCCGCTCCAGCGAGCTGGCAGAAGCGCTAGAGCGCCGACGAATAGACTTCTGTGCCGTGCAGGAAACGAGGTGGTCCTGCTGCAAGTCGAGGGACATTGGCCGCGGCTTCAAAGCCGTTCTCTGTGGCGGTCCCAAAACCACCAATGGCGTCGGGATGATTGTCTCTGAACGCTTTCGTGATTCGATAGTAAACGTGGAGCGCTTCGACGACCGATTAATGAAAATCATTGTCGTCATTGAACATCGAAAATACCCACTTCTCTCAGCGTACGCTCCGCAGACCGGATGCTCCGAACAAGCCAAAGATAAGTTCTGGAACTCTGCTTGATGAGAAGACAGCTGAGGTTCCGTCACAAGAAGCTATAATTGTCGCAGGTGACCTCAATGGGCACGTTGGCGCTACGAAAGACGGTTACAGCTGTCACGGTGGTTTTGGATATGGGTTACGTAACACCGATGGCGAGCGAATTCTCGAGTATGCAGACTCGCACAACCTCGCCATTGTGAACACGAAATTCCGAAAACGCGACTCACATCTCATCACCTTCTATAGCGGTAACACTAGAACACAAATTGATTTCGTACTTGTCAGGCGCCGCGACCAAGGACTCGTAACAGACGCGAAAACAGTGCCTTATGAAACGGTCGCCACGCAACACCGACCACTAATTTGTACGCTAAAGATCGCCCCGCCGAAACCGAAACTAACCGAAAGGTGTGGGCCAGCGAGAGAATCAAGTGGTGGCGACTGAAGGAAAAAGAAGCGGCCGTCATTTCCCGCATTCAATTACCAGCGGTAACGACTGTCGACGAAACCTGGAAAGGTGCTGCCGAAGAAATAACTCGGATAGCTCGATCCGAGCTCGGGATGACGAAGCCGGGGCGGCGGAGAATTGACAAGCAAACGTGGCTGTGGACGGACCAGGTCAGAGAGAAAGTGCGCGAAAAGAAGAAGCGGTACCACGCATTTCTTCACGAAAAGACAGCTGAGAACTGGCGGAGCTATCAGATAGCGAAGAAAGAGGCAAAGAAGGCCGTTGCTTCTGCGAAAGCAGCTCATTTTGCTGATATCAGTAAGAAACTCGAGTCGCGCGATGGAGAGCGGTACGTTTACCGACTTGCAAAGACCCGCCATCGCCAGACCGAGGATATAGAAAAATTCTTCGGCATAAATGACGAGAATGGCCACCTCTTGACGGACCGCAAGAAAACACTGAAACGATGGCGTGACTACTTCGAAAACATCTCAACAGTCGAATTTACTCATCCCGCCATCCCCTGCGCTCCGCCAGTACACGGTCCCGTTCAGAAGATAACCGTGGAGGAGACCATCACGGCCATGAAGAAGATGAAATCAGGCAAAGCAACTGGTCCTGACGACTTAGCGGCGGACTTGTGGAAATCAAAATGCTGGAATCCTGCAGAATGGTTGACGGAGTTCTTCAACCAGATCGTTGCAGAGAAGAAGGTGCCTGAAAGCTGGCAACAAAGCACGACGATTCCTATCTGGAAGAAGAAGGGCAGTCCAGGAGACTGCACTAGCTATCGTCCAATTCGCGCCTGCTTTCTGCACAGTTGAAAGAGTTCTCGGAGCCGTATCCGGGACATCGTCGAGCTGACCACCAACCAGTGTGGTTTTGTGGCTAGTTGCAGCACTATCGATGCCATTCATGCCGCTCGCCTTCTGCTAGAAAAGCATCGCGAGAAACAAAGACCGGTGCACCTTGCCTTCCTAGATTTGGAGAAGGCATTCGACCGCGTTCCGCGGGACGTTATATGGTATGCCTTACGACAGCATGGCGTGCCTGAAGAGCTCGTCGAGTGGGTGCGCATCCTTTACTCGAGTCCAAAGAGCCGAGTGCAAACGGCAGCAGGAACATCGATGGATTTTCCCATCTCTGTCGGGGTACATCAAGGCTCTGCGTTATCCCCACTCCTATTTGTTGTCGTCATGGATGCCATTACGAGAGATCTCCAGAAGCCGGCTCCATGGACACTTCTTTATGCTGATGACGTGATGCTCGCTAGCGAAGATAAAAGCACGCTCGAGCAACAGGTACAAGCCTGGTCCGATCGTCTAGCTATGTTCGGGCTCAAGCTGAACGTTAAGAAGACTGAGTACTTGACCACCGATTCGAGTGAGTTAGGCTCTATTAAGATCAATGGTACTGAACTCACTCGTGCAACATCATTCAAGTATCTTGGATCAGCAATCGCGTCTGACGGCAGCCTGGTCTTCGAAACGAATTCTCGCGTGAATGCAGCCTGGTCGAAATGGCGCTCGATGACTGGCGTTCTCTGCGATAAAAACATGCCAGAACGTCTCAAATCTAAGATCTATAGGACCGTCATCCGGCCGGTCGCGATTTACGGTGCTGAGTGCTGGCCTACGACTAAAGAGATCGAAGCACGGCTCAGTGTGATGGAGACCAAGATGCTGCGATGGACAGCCGGAGTCACACGAGTAGACCACATTCCGAAACGATGTCATCAGAGAGCGATTCGGGGTGGCTCCAATTGTCGACAAGATGCGCGAAGCCCGTCTTCGATGGTATGGTCATGTCCTTCGCGCGAAAGATGACAGTGTCTGTAAGATCGGTCTCAACCTTGACGTGCCCGGAAAGCGGCCTAGGGGGCGCCCGAAGCAGCGATGGCTCGATACGTTGCACGTAGACTTGAAGTCAGTTAATATCCACCCCGATCAAGCATTTAATCGGGAAAAGTGGCGTCAACACATAAGAAAAGCGGACCCCGCTTACAAGCGGGACAGACGCTAAAGAATAAGAAGAAGAAGAAGAAGAAGAAACAAGTGGAATCATGAGCAGTCGTCATTCAGGCATCACTATCAAGCAGAAGAGGCGGTAGGATTGGAGAACACCTTGCAGTATTGATCGGGCACTTGTGATTTCCATGACCCGTCGCGTGAATCGCGCAAATCGCGAATTGCGTGAATCGAGCAAATCGCAAAATGCAGCATAAACCTGCGACGGATGCGCGGACGTTTGACCACCACGCGTGACAAACCTGCTCCATCTCTCGAGCATGGGAGTAGACAGGCGACGATCGCTTATGGTCGCGTCTTCTTTACGCTAGAAAGGGCGCGACAAAGCGCTAGAGGGTGCTCGAAGTGCCCGTAATCCACATCGTCCTCTCTGCTGCCACACTAGTGCCGTGAAGAGCGAAACCACAGGTGCGGCAGTTGCTGCTGAATGTCAGTGGCAATGAAGCGACTGGGGCCAGCCGCCCGTGGACTTTGTCCGAAGGCGCACCTTCTCTTTCCCAGGGTGGAATGCGACTAATAGAGAAAAGGTTCTTATTTGGGGCGTAATTTTTGGGCTTCTCTTGCTCTCTTCCTTTTTCAAACCACTGTTTATCTCCAGCGTCCTTGCTGAACGTTCTTAAATGCCTATTTTATCCTGGAGCTCGCTTTTAAGTGGATAATAGTGAGTGTGCGTTTAATTCGATGGGCTCACTACTTCTTGGAAACGAACCGAATTGCTCCAAGTTTGGGGTATAAAAGGGTTTTAGGATCCCTACACACAAACATGTCTTGGCGGTACTCTGAAATAGCCGGACATTCTTACAACTCAACCTAATTCTTCGTTGACTGATTTGTTATAGGATCAGATATAATAGTCGTGAATGCCGGCACCAGGGCACTGAGGCGAGGCGGGTCTTCACAGCTCAAACAGTCCTTTCCTTCCTTTTCTTTTGCAACTTTTTTCCCGTCTGGATAGAAGAAAGTTACCAGTGCATTATTATGTTGCAAGAAAAAGCTCTCGCCTTTGTAATATACGATGAAACGAAAGCAAAGATAAGCGTCCTAGAGCTCAGCACCTATAAAGTTTTCCTTGGAATGGTTAGTTGCTAACAAGCTGCAAGAGTATCGCAAGCACGTCTGTTCGGCCAACAGTCTTTTATTTGTGGTCTTTAGCTTTACCTACAGAGGGCAGTGTTCCTCGGTAAGCAGTCTCTGCACCCGAATTATACCACGCGTTGGAAGTTAGGGTACTGCACGTTGTTCTAGCTCTGATTTCTCGCCGCATCGCTCGGAAGAAGCCAGCGTAGTAAACACTAAGGCTTCCTCATATGGTTATTTTTAAGCCAAGTGTTTTAAGGCCGAAGTAACCCAAAGGTTCACTGCCATGCCATGGATACATCAAAAGTCATATGTGGTGCTTCATGGATTCCTTCAGTATCCCTTTCACCATCCGTAGATGGCTTTAAAGACTCATATCTTCACTTTCAAGCAATTGATTCAGGAGATGTTGTAGTAGGATGGGCGACAATCCTTCATTTTGCCATGTGCAGCTGATGGGCAACAATCCTTTATTGTTGCACGTGCACTAGCCACTCTTTTCTGTTAGGGCATCTTCAAAAGGCACAGGTTGTTCGCTATGGCTTGATTGATGCATTTAAATTTTTGGTTGCGATAATTTGAATGGGATCTAATCATTTGGTTCTAACAGGGGAACAAAGGAGGTTTTTAGGTTGCGCTGTCCAACAATCCTTGTAATGTTCAAAAGTAGCTTTATAACTATTATTATTGGATGTGTCACAATATTTATATTCCTATCAATAGTAACGGATCAATGGCGCACTTCTTTTACAAAATTCCGTTGATATTGCGATGCTATTGATTTTATTGAATAATCCCTTGCAGAACAGATCTTTTCTAGGCTTTGCTACAATGGCTACTACAATGCTCTACTCCCTAGTACGATACTCACACCGTGGTACGGGCCGACCGGATTGGGTGGAATCGATTTAGGTAAATTATTTCTGAAACTGCCATTTTGTAACACAGCGAAAATGGCTCTGTTACAGGCATCGATGCGCTTTCTTTGACTAACAAGACAACTCCTGTGATGAATCGCCCTCACAGCACTCCGCCTAAACAACAAACCACCAACCTTATTGGTTTGTAAAGGAAACCAACAGTTCAGGCTGTTTAGTTCATCATCATTTCATTTTCAGATCTGGATGACGATCTGCTTCCGTCAGGTGGTTGTCAACCACTCATGTGCACTCTTGCACCATTAGCTCCAACTCCAGTTGGTGCAGCTGCATCGATGTCCTCACTAGAGCCGGAGCCTCCAACGATAGATTGGGGTGCGCCTAGTAGTACGCAGCAACCCACTATTCGTGCACCATCATTACCGAACCTTGCATCGCAGAATTCACCCGCTTTCCCCGTTACGTTTGAGGAGGAGTCATCAGGTGATTTTGGGTTGCTATTTTTGCGTCATTGTTTTTTTCGTCGTTGTAATTAGCACTGTTCAGCAGTGGCAGATAATGGCCCATTACACCAACTTCCACCAGCACCGGCAAGACTACATCAGAACACTCCTGCTGCCCAATCTCTGGCGGCTAGCAGCGGACGAGACCCATTCATAGTGATGTGGGAACAAATCAAGAATGTACCTCTCAGTAACATCACACAAAGGTAAGTATGGTCCTGTGATGCCTGGTAATGTTATGCGATGATATTGCGTCTGTAGCAGGCAGTCCTTGAGAATTCAAAGGAAGTCCTTCACGGAAAAGGTCATGATTCTATCTCACCCATAAATCACTGGCTTGAGACCATCGTCCACGATAAGAACAAAAGAACAAATTGCATTTGTTTTGGTAAGAAATTCGAAAAATCGGAAGGCTGCTACGCGTTCGAATTCCCACCGAACATCGAACATCTGCCACAAAGGCAGGGATAGCCGAGTGGTTAAGAGGTTAGACTCATGTCTGCACCTCTGAAAAACCGCGAGTTCGATCCCTGCCGAGGCTCTAACCATGCCTTGCAAAAATTGCAAAAATGGTTCTAGTACCAGCGTCAGGCCCAGGTTGACAGGCCGGCTGATGAAGACCCCCGTCACAACAAACATGTCTAAAGTCGCAAAAGGAATCAGTGATAAAGCTATCTAGCTAGCGAGCTAGCACAAGTGGC